CATGCAGACTGCTTGAAGAAATCATGATTAAGCCAAAGATTGCTGCGCTTCCCAGCTGGAAAGTGCAAAATCTGGACAGGAATTAAATTTCTTTAGAAGTGACCAGTTAAGAAAAAAAAAGTCATGCACTTTTTCTAGGAAAAACCCAGAAGTCTTTTAAGAGAAGTAACACGAAAGCACTCATGCAACCTGGAGACAGCAGATCAGGACTGAGATAGATGACTGGAACTGGAACTGTGCTTCACCTGCACAGCTTTCCTGGTGCATCCAGTGTGGTGAATGCAGCTGTCCAAGCCATACAAAGAGAGGCAAGTGCAGGATATATTCACCTGCAGTGAAAATCTTCCCATTTACTATTCAGGACTCTGACTTGTTCCATCAGTGGCCAAAAGACAAACATCCCCTTTGCTCGGGACTTCGAATGGGGACGAGCCTAAACCCCGGCGCCTGGCTTTGGCAGATTTCCCTTGCGACAAAAAGACAGCAACACAGCAAAGCGAGCTGGTTTTCTGCTCGAGACGATTGCAACGTCCCCTCCCTTCAGTGGAGCCTCCAGGGCACGCGTAGCACGCAGCCTCCGCCAGGGGCTGCTGCCGGCTTTGCAAAGCGTCCTCTGCGGCCGACAGCTGTGCGTGGAGCCCCGCGGAGCTGCGTGCGGAGTTTGGGCTCTCGAGGCACGAATGTTACCCTGTCCTGCACATCTGCAGCAGCAGGAGGCTCCCCTGGTCTCATCACCTCTTATTTCCGTTACTTAGAGATACAAAACCAGGCTGGATGGGAGAAGGATGGCTGCTCCAATTACAGCGATGACACAGATGGAGTAAATTCTGGTTTTATGCCAGTTTTGCTTTTGTCTTCTGCTCCTGGAGAGTGTAACTTTGCTTCTCCAAGTCCTCTCACTGTTTTCAAAAGCTTGTGAGGTCCCTGTCATAGTAAGCAACCCAGAGCACAATGCTTAACAGGGAGAGGGATGAACTTTCCTCTTTTGGAACAGTAAAACATTCAGACTCACAGCAAAGGGCATCACTCCTCAGACCTGAAAACCTCACACCAGCAAGGAGCTTGCCAGGCTTGCGAAAGGCCATTTCTGCAGAGGTGTCCTATGTGGGGATACTGGTGCTCTCTTTCCTGGTATGGATCCAACAACCCAAGTGCTTGAGGTGTGGCTACAGAGACTTGGAGTGAGCAGAGACAGCTGACAAACGAGGGGTGCAGAACTCCTGGCTCTTTGCAGTGGGCACTATCAGATCTCAACGTGTGGATGGAGGAGATGGCAGTTTGAGAGATGGGAATTCAAGATGATGGAGCTCACCTGTGGCACTACAAACCAGAGCCTGGTGGGCTGGCACAGCTGTGGGGTGCAAGGTCCTTCCATCAGCGGGGCTGCATCCAGCAGCTGACAGTCCATTTTTATCCTTTGCTCCTCACGATGGCTATATATATTGTCCAAAATGAAATAGAAGGGCAAATTTCCTGCTAAAAATCCTCCTTTCCTTCTTCTTTCTGGGCTGGAGAGCTGCACCCGTGCCTCCAACCTCCTCACATCGGTGCTGCTTTGCCCTTTAGGTGTGGCTTTTCTCTGGGTTGGAAGGAGAAGCAGATGAGTCCTTCCCATGTTGGCTCAGTTTTCTTTCACCTCCTTGAACCTGCAACATCTGGGTTGCAAACACACAGGGAGAGCAGCATTTGCCTTCCAAGGTGCTGCAAACGTGCAGGGAAGTACAAAGACGGTGGGAAAGTGGGTGGCAGCTGTTCTCAATGAAGCACAAAACGATGATGGAAATGCATCTGTCCGTGCCCAGTTTTGGCACAATGTGTCGAGTCAGGAAACACATTGTAAGTTTTCACGATCCCACCTACATTCACCTGCTGCTGTCACTGTTCCTCAGATTTTCCCAATAGCCCAACATATGAATATTTGGTGCTCTAAGAAAAAAAACAACAACTGTGGGGTGGTTTGCAGGGCACAGTGGCATCATGGTCCCCGTGCCTGACTCTCACTATCAAGGAGGAGACCAATAACATCTGATGGTTTTAACCATTTCCTCTTGGATCCAAATGCTGATCCTGCCCCAAATCCATCTTTATTTTCGCCCCTGGGGAGAGTGGAACTGCGTCCATTCTCAGCTGGCTCCTGCTTGGCTGAAGTGGGGAGTGCACTGCTGTGCTCTGACACTTCTTGGCTCTCCTGTGAGCCGCCATGACTCACTGCACTGAGCATCCTCCTATCTCATGCTCCTCCATTTCTGCTCTGTCTCCTATGACATCCATTTCCCTTTGTCGCTCCCTCCTCCTCTGGCCAAAACAAAATAAAAAATTAAGTGTGAATCTAAGAACCAAAGATGCTTTTGGTTGTTTTTTTTTTTTTTTTTTAAGCAGATACTGAGAAGTGAGGAAAAATCCTTCTTGTAAATTATGGTCCCATGAAAACAACTCCAGCTGCACAGAGAGTTTGGCAAATTACAGAAGATGCAAATGTCAATGGAAGGAACTCTGGTAGTAAATATTTTTCACGACTGCTTCGTTAACAAAACTTGTCATTAGAATGGCTCCCGCTCTCTGGAGCTGGGGAGGGATGACAGCTCTTTAGTGTTTGGTAGATTTCAACACTTTACCCACAAAACACAGCTATGCCATTTATTCCCATGTAATTAATCCACTGGTACTATCTTTCTTAAAGACAAAAAAGCTTATTTTGAAGTTCAGTTGTGGCACAGACCCTTGCAAAGAGAGATGTTCCACTGCTCTCCTCTTCCAGATGGACTCCCAACTTAGGTTGGATGTTAGGGGGAAGTTCTTCACAAGGAGAGTGGTTAGGCCCTGGAACGGGCTGCCCAGGGAGGTTGTGGATGCCCCGGATACCCGGACGGGGTCCTGGGCAACCTGATCTGAATGTGTACGTTTGGTGGCCCTGCTGGGCAGGGGGGTTGGAACTACATGATCCTTGAGGTCCCTTCCAACCCGAGTGATTCTGTGATTCTGTGATTCTGTGACACCCATCAGATGGAGCCTGGAAGCACCACAAGCTTTTTTTTTCTCATTGTTTCCATCTTCTCTTCTCCATAATGAGAAACCAGGAGCCAGGGGGTGCCAACCCTGTGCCTGTCACCAGAGAGTGCAAAGAGAGACACTGGATATTCCTGTAGCCTCTGAACCCAGAAGATGAAGAAAAGGACTCAACTAAGCAAGCACTGTGCTTGCACATACAAATTGCTAAGCTGGACTAAGCTGGTGCTGGCAGCATTGTGTTCTCCTGCTAGGGCCAATGTCTTTGGACATGTCAGATTTGCCCTCAGGCCACATTGCTAATCTGCACAGCTTGGCGCGATAGAACTGCAGTGTGTGCCATTGTGCAATGGCTCAAGCTGTACAGAGCCGTGATTTATGTCCCTTCCTCACAAGCATCTCCTCTATTTTCAGGGAACTCCGTGAAGTTTTGCTCTCCAAGTGGGGATGTGATTTCTTTGGGCCAATACTTCTGCTGAGCCCACCAATGGCTGATGCAAAACTCCGACTTTCTGAATCCCCCAAATCTCCCTGCCCTGCCCCAATAACTGTAAAACTGCTGCAGCCACACACTCTTGAATCTTAGTCCTAGGGATCCTTTCTCCTTTGTGAGTCTTTCAACAAGTTCCCTTCTGCACGCTGGTGAAAGATGTGCCCATTCTGTGCTCCATGCAGAACTGAGTGTGCAAACAGAGCCTGGAGGTGCAGGGCTTCACCGCCTGCCTGGCCCGGCTGCTCGCAGTGCTGTGATTTATGCTTTGATTTGTGAATGCCTCTTCCTGCCAGGTGATTGCATGGGCCCTCGCCTGCACATTATTTTCGCATTTGCTTTTGCTTCCCCCTTCCCACTCCCACCCCCACTTCTCACGAAATGGTTTTCATTTTTATGAAAGCAATCTATTCTTGAGGCTGCCAAAGGCTTATCAGGTTCGGCATACGTTCAGACAAGTTGTGCCTGGCGATTTTGGGAGAAGAAAATGAATGAAAGCAACAGCACAGGGGAGGCCGAGAGGGGCTAAGCTCCAGCACGGAGATTTTGGCTCCAGGCAAGGGTGGAGGTGAGGAGCTGAGCTGAAGAAGGACAGAAACAAGGCAAAGGGAGTGGGGGGAGACTACACACCCCCCGAGATATTTGCAATAGCATCACTGCCAATCTGGAGCTGCTCTCCTTGCAGGAAAGCGTGGTGGTGAGTGCTCCTTTAAGAAACTCCTTGAAAACTCCTTGGAAACTTGGAAGATGAATCTTCCCCTTGACGAATTAATTTTCTCCCTCCTCCTGACCCGTCAGCCTGCGCTGCCAGCAAAGTTCCCATTAGCTTTGGTGGAGTTTGCCAACATTCGCTCAGTTCCAAGCTCCGTAGAAATCCACTGGAGCCTTTCCATTGATTTCGAGGAGCTCCGGGTCAAATCCCCGACTGCGGGACGAGGCGCGGGTATGCGCTGCCGTGAGTGATGAGCTGTGGGACGACGTCTTCATCGCTGGGCAGGGCCAGGAGGAGGGCTGACGATGCTAAGTGGAACCATCCTGCAGTGAGGTCATTCGCTTCGCTGCGCTCCTTCCCTTCTCCCAGGGAGGAGATGGCAACTTTCAAGCTGAGAATGAGGGCTTTATTTCCCATCTGTTCTATGCTCTGTCCCTGAGGCTGTCACCCACAGCACTGCCACAACTGCTGTCCTGCAGCCCCCGAGGAGAAACCTCCCTGAGCCAACAGCTTACAAATGCTCCTCGAGAGGCAGCCAAACACGGCCTTTATCAGCACATGAGAGCTTGCAAAGATAACGCTTCAAAGAAAACACGTTCTAAATACACCTTTAAAAGCCTTAAAACGTAATTCCATAAATGTTTGTGTTACTTGGGTGAGAGATAAAGAGAAGTGGTATTGCTGAATTGTAGCGGGGCCGAATACCTGCAAACTTCTCCCGTGTCCCTATCAGATGAATAGTTCACTTATTAACCTAGAGCTGCCTACAGCAGAGCCCTTTCCTTTCTCAATGATCTTCTCCCTGCTGTGGGTTGTTTGCTCGTGGCAGCTCCACTCCACTAGGACATGGGCAGTGATGCAAATCAGAGCAAAATCTTGAATTGAAATCCTTCCCAGTGCTCCAGCCAAACACGAGCAGCTCCCACCGTGCACCTCTGGAGATACTGCCCAACTGCAGCAGGAGGTGAAGACATTTTCCATGGGAAGACTGCAGGAATCCAACAGCCTCACAGTGCGTACGTGGTTTGGCTTCATGGGGAGGGTGGTGATGCATTTTCTGATTAATTTTCCTGCTCTCTGCTTGATGCCTGATCAGGAAGGCGGCACACTGCTTGATGGGGTAATGGCGCATTGAGACAAAGCATCACATCAACACCTTTGGAAACTTTAAGCCTTGTGAGCATCAACCCCAAACAGCTGTTTTAGGACTGAGGATGCCCACATGTAACCCTTAAACCGCATTGATTGGTCTTGGCAATTGGTGCAGCATTTGGTACCCATCCACCAATCTCTTCATGCATTCAGCAGCTGGGCACAGGCAGGGTTGTCCCTTAGGGGCTGCACAGACCCCAGTTTGTGGCCACTGAAAAACATTTTGAAGAAAGCCAGAGGTTTCTGGTTGCCCTGACTGCCACATGGCAGCACTAGTGGGCTGGAAGTAGGAATCAACGGCAGCACAGGGGCAGTGCAAATCCATCCCAAATCTGGTCTGATGTATCCTTCAGTGCTCTCATTCTTAAATAATTACCATTATTCTTAAGGTGCCCTAAACCTTGTGTTCACCTTTCTCTGTATTTAACCTCTATATGTTACAGGTAACCTCTTCTCAATGTCCAGCACTTTCTCCTTTGCAAAACAAACCCTTGGGATTTCTTTGGATGCCAGAAAGCAAGAGTCTGAATAGTTGGTTCAGATCCAGAAGCATTTTCCTCTCTCCCTGTTCCTAAGCCACAGAAAAGGCATTTGCAACCTCTTTGAGCTGTGCAGTGCAATAAGCTGCTCAGAGAAAGGGGCAGGGGGTGGCACTGCTAACCGACAACTCCAGCAATGACAGCAGGGAACCAAAGTCTTCCCTCACCCCACACTGCCCATCGGGAACCTTGATAAGCAAATAGTGTGCAGGAGGGCGGCTCCACACTGCTCCAAGAGGCTCTGCAAACCCCAGGGCAGCGGGAAGGCAGCTGTGAGTGGTGTGCCCCAGGAGATCGAAATCAGGAGACAGCAGAGATGAAGCATCGCAGAGGGAGAAATCCTGTGTTTTCTCTCAAGGAGATGTTGTCACTCCTTTATCTAGTTTGCAAGCTATCTAGGCTGTGTATATGTCGAGCTGTCAGTGACTGGGACACTGAACATATTCCTTTCTGCTTAGCATCTGGGCTGAGCAGCCAGAGAAATGCAATGGGTGCAGCAGCTCCATGGGCAGACCGAGAAGCCCAATCCTTCTCCAAAAGTCCACTGGAATCCCAGTTCTGCACTTGCCCAGTGGTGCTCAGCAGGAACCCAGCATGCAGGGTGACAGATCAGTGCTCCAGTTTGGCCAATGCCATTCACCAACAGTAAATAAACGGCGTAATCATTTCTGCAATCTTTCCTAATGACCATGTCTGAGCCCACCCAGAGGCTCCAGTGTCAAACACTTCTCTGCATGGTGACTGATGCCAGGTGCTCCAAATGCAAACTGTTGGAAACATGTTGAGTGAGAGGTGATGGGCAGGCAGAGTTGCCTTAGGGCACATGTCCAGAGTGACTACCCATGCTTGTTGGGACCACCAGCTCCTGAGAAGAAAACATGTTAAAATATCACCCCTACCATTTCTGTGTGCAAAACAAGGCTCAGAGTGATCTGCTTTTGGGCACAGATTTTGGGGACGGGGCTCTGTTCATCCTTAGGTTATTTCCATATGGTATGCTCTGGCTTGATGGAGATGCCCATCACGGAGTGACAGTGGATACTCTTACAAAAAAACATTAAGAGTGCTGAAGGCCACCACAAAGTTTAATTAATTAGAAATTAATGTGTCATTCTACCTGGGTTACAGAGCAAAGAGATGCCTTAAGATGCATTCAAGGTGGGATGTCATGAAGAAAGGCAAAGGAACTGAAAGCATCTTCCCCTCCTGCCTGGCAGGGCTGGACATGGCTCCACTGTGGGAACCTGCTCCTGATGTGGCTTATGAAACACAAACTCACTGTAACTCATCTGAAAATGCGGCAAGAAGAAAACATTCTCCAGCACGTCAGTTCCATGGGGTGATGCTCCTCTTCCCAGACAGATGGTCTGATTTTTGTGTGTCTGTGTGGAGCCAGGAGCTGGAATTGATGATCCTTTTGGGTATCCTCCAACTTGGGATATTCTATAATTCTTCCAGTCAAATTGCCCATGTTAATCACAAAGAATCTGCTTTTTCTTCCATTGTGCCTGGATATTATGCTTTTCTCTCCACAGGAGCTGAGTGTTGTACAGCAGTGGTGCTGAGGCTTCATTCATTCAGTCTCAGGGTAACAAGGGAGATATTTCTTTAGTTTGTGACAGCTTTGTAGCATGAATTATCTCGTGTTTTACAATGCTCTCTTGCAGTGTGCTGTGCATGCACGCTAGCACTGATAATTTTTGGCTAACGGTGGTATTCAATCATCAGATAAAAACTAATGAAGCAGAGGGCCAGAAGATGTGATGATGATGAGGGGGAGGAATTCAGAGTAGTAGAGGGGGGCAGCCATAATCCAGGCAGGGCTATTGAATTGATGTGAGTGATAATTAACATTCTGATTCATTAAGCAATGGCTTCATTGATGGGATGATTTCAGAGCTGGTGCCAAGCAATAGGAAATTTCTCCAGGGCTCATCCTACCCACGTTGTGCTGGTGCATGACAGAAGTTTTTTCCAACTTTAATGATTCTATGATTAATATAAAATAAAAATGGAAACAGAACTTAAATAGGGCATGTCTGACAGTGCAAGCAAGAGAAGAGTATGGGGAGGCCAATGCTCAAATATTTCCCCATTCTCAGTATTTACTCAGCAGCCCCTTGTACTGAGCCTCCATTGACTCTCAGGCAGGGATGTTGGGGGCTTCCAGCTCCAGCTGCTGTTACTCCTCCAAGTTTTCTGTGATATTGTAGCAGTAAAGAAAGCTGAAATACAGCACTCGGCTCCTCCAGCCTTCTTTTCTATGTGCAGGAAGCCTGTACATCTCCTGGATGAAAATACACGGTGTAAAGAGGTTACTGCTGCAGAGATGGGGATGGCCACATTACTCATGTGTAGCCAAGTGCTGAATCATCTGGGTCACCTTATGAGATGTCATCTGTACTTGTCAAACAGATTTTACAGAAGGAATATTTCCAGGATGTTTTAGGGAGCATTAATACCATTTATATGTATTGCTTCTTTTATCCCTTTGCATAAAAAGCCAGGTGAATCTGGCTGCCCAGGACTTGCAAGGAGAGAAGAGTTACAGTTCAGACATTTCAAAAATCTCCAAAATGCACCTGCAATGGTCTTCTCATCCATCACCATGCTGTCATTCAAGCTTCAGCATGCTGGGACTTCCCCACCCCTCGAGCAAGAGTTGAACAGGAGGGACATGAACAATTCTTCTAGAGGAACTTCAATAGGTTCTCCTCTGCGCCAATGCATTACAGGGAATCATAAACTCAGGAAAAATAACAGTAGTAATAAATTAGAATCATAGAATGATTAATTCTACCTAAACATCAATCAAAGAGATGGCCAAGATCAGAATTTGGTGCTTTCGTTATTCAGCCTATTCGTCCCATGCCCAGTGCCCAGACTTTGTACCAACAGTGCTTTTCCTTCAGAAAAATAAATAAATAAATGAATAAGTAAGCAAGCAGCCAAGTCGCTCTGCTGGCTGCCCTGTACTTTTAAGAAGTGCATTTGGTCTCTTGAGAATGCATCAAAATTTTGATGCTTAGCGGAAAATAAAAATATTTGCACTCAGTTCATTTCTAGAGCTGCACATAAAGTGCTCCCCCTCAGGGCACATCCAAGGAAAAGACTGGAAATAAAATATAAATTCTAAATAGCAGTAAAAAGTTTATCGCTTGGGGGTTATGAGTGTTCAGCTTTTATTACTACAAAAATCAATTTACTGAACTTAGGTTTACTGCAAAATCAAAAAAGTTAAAACCTGAATTCATTCTGCATCCACAGCTTTGCTGCTTCTCCCTTTTGTGCCAGTGGTGGCTGGGGGCAGGGGTTGGGATGGCGATGGTGATGGGTATGGTGATGGCTATGGGGATGGAGATAGTGAAGGAGATGGGGATGGAGATGGGATGGGGATGGGGATGGGGATGGGGATGGGGATGGGGATAGGGATGGGGATGGGGATGGGGATGGGAATGGGGATGGGGATGGGGATGGGGATGGGGATGGAGATAGGGATGGGGATGGGGATGGGGATGGGGGTGGGGATGTCATTGGGATTGGCAATGGGGATGCATTGGTGACCTCCTCCCGGCTGTGCTGGTAGCATTGCATCTTCACCAACATCACTGTGGTAAAACCAGATTACTTGCTGGGAAGTGCCCATCTGCACATTCCCAACAACACAGTGCTGATTTGAATGCTAAAAAAAAAAAATAAAACAAAAAGAAGTGGAAAAGTAAGAGCAGTGATGTCACTTCACTGTGGCTGAGCTTCTCTCAGCCCATCAGCAAATCCTGCATATCTTCCTTTCTGTTTTCATTCCTGAAGTTTTCAAGGTTAATGCCAGTGTGTGTTTTTGCAGAGCTGGTGGAAAGTGGCAGAGTTTGGCCATGGTGAGTAGATGCTGTAAATGCTTCCTGGTCCGCCACACCACTCCCAGAGTCCCAGTTCTCAGTAAGCATCAAAAGTTCTTGTAAAGAGAATTTCAGCCTTGATGACAGTTTCTGGATATGTAGCAGACAAAAAAATACATATATTGAAGGAGCACTTGGTCACCTTTATAGAGATTCAAAAGAAATATTTTGGGAAGAAGAAAGCTGCCAAGTGAATCAGCAGGCAGCCAGGGCCAGCAGGGATGTTGGGTAGAACTCCCACCCACTACCAGTGGGTTTGGCACATGCCCCACTGAAACACGCTCTGACCCATAAAAGCAAGGTGCAAATGCAGGCTGCAGAGTCAGGATCCCATTGGTACTGCCCTGGCATTTACACAGTGGAGTTTTTAATTGGGTTCCCCCAACAGCCCTTTGCCCCTCCAACAAAACAGTGAGGTGCTCAGGGAACGCCTGGCTGGCTGGCTCCATGTTCCAGAGGGCTCTGTACAAATGAAGTTCTTCTGGAGTGATGCTTGGCATTTCACTTCAGAGAGCCAGCATCTCCTGCCAACCCCACAGATTTATAGGGGAGTGGCTGCCAGCGTGATGCAAAGAGCTGGGGCTGCCTGCAGAGCCGCATCCCTGCTGCATTTTTCAGCTCTTGCACCACAGCAGCTCCCCAGTCTTTATCTGCCCGTCTTGCAAAAGATGGAAGGTCCTTTGCAGTTTTTCAGAAGGTCATCTGATAACCCTGTCAGGCATAATGTGCCGTGATCGGATCCCCCCAGGTTGGGGTGGGGTCAATCAATTGCGAGCAAACACCTCTGACAGACCTTGCTGACATGAAAGGCGCAAACTCACCAGTAATTTATTGGAAATGTGCATAATGAAGAGGATTACTCTTAATTTCCTATGAAAAAAGAAAGGTTTTCTTGGCTTTCAAGTGAGCAAGCAAACAAGAGTGTGAGTGAAGGCATTAGGGCTCAGTGAATCACAGCAGGAGTGGGGGGGATGCAGCAGGAGGAGCAGTGCTGTCCCGACTGCCCCAGCACCATGGGGCAATCAGGACATGGGGAGTCCTCACCCTCACCTTACTTTCCAATAAAGTAAGATCCTTTCCCCTTGGAATTCCGAGTGAAATAACACAAACATACAGGTTTTAAGTCACAGAGATGTTGAGTTTTGTAGCACTTAAAGAAAATGAGGATAAAGGCTCAGGGGAGACATTATCACTCCCTACAACTCCCTGCAAGGAGGTTGGAATGAGGTGGGGGTTGGCCTCTGCTCCCAGGTGACAGTGTTAGGATGAGACATGGTGGTGTCATTTTGCACCAGAGGAGGGTCAGATGGGGCGTTATGGATGCAGTGCCACAGCTGCCCAGGAAGGTGGTGGAGTCACCATCCCTGGAGCTGTTCCAGCCATGGAGGTGTGGCACTAAGGGACGTGGTCACTGGATACAGTGAGGTGGGCTGAGATTGGACTTGATGATCTTAGGGCTCTTTTTCAACCTTATTGATTCGACGATTGAAGAATTTTTGGTTGGCATCACTCGAAGAGAAAGTGCATGTGACAATCTGGCACTTCCCTACACCTGGACTGTTTTCATGAAGAGATTTAGATCACACCTGGTGAATGTTTCCTCACTGTAGAACCTAAACATGGCATCTCCCAGACTGCCTGTGGACTGCCAGCACAGCCCCAGGGGTGACGCTGGCTGCAGTCCTGCATTGTGGGACAATGAACAACCCCTGCCAGGGGCCTGGGCAAGAAGGGGATGGCTCTTCCTGTTGCCCACAGCATGCCATTTGCTCCTTCCACCATTAAACTAAATGTCTATTTATCAGCACAGCTTTCACAGTAAATATTCCTATTAACCAAGCATTCAAAGCCAACAAGGATTTCTAGCAAATACCCCTATTAATCAAGCTTCCAAACGACTGATTCCAAAATTACAGACCACACATTATTTAACAGACCAGTGCCACCCTTCTACAGTCACGTTTCTAACAGCGATAACACCAAGCTGGCTGCTTTTTCCCCGTACGCCTGCATGCAGAAGGGCTCAGGGCTGACCCCTCTTCCCTCTGGGAGCGGGGAGCTGAGCAGAAGCAGCGAGCATTAACTATAGGAAATGACTGCCACCTCCAGCCCTCTGCCTGCTATTGGAGCCAGCGGCTCCTTGGGTGACTGGAGGAACGTGGAAACTTGTTTTACTGCTCGCTTGTCTTGAGATATAAACAGTCGGGCTCGGAGCAGAGAAACACGAGATGGCAATTATCCCAGAGCTATTAGCTGTGTCTGAATATCATAGACTCGAAGCTCCCTTGATCCACTGGAATTTATATGACCGTTAATGGGGACTGTAAATTGCTGTCAGGGGGGATAACTCGCTCCATGGGTTTTTGGAGAGGTGGAGGGAGGGAGCGGGCAGGAAGACGGGAAGGTGCCCCAGGATGGACATGGAGCTGTACAACAGCTTAAGACCATTGTCTGCTGGCATATAGTAGATAATAAAAATTTGTTTTAATTTAGCATATAAGGATATGATGTCAAAATAAAATGTCTCAAGAGCAAGTAAGGAACATAAAAAAGTCATAGCCCATGCTGTGAGCATCAGCTGCACGTCATAAAGATACATTAATGGTGTATTTCTTTAAAAGAAATTTTCGTAGTAGGGGGTTTTATGAGAAATAAGTTTAAAATATTAAGAGGAAATTTTATGATTGGAGGGGGAAAAGCATTCAGCTGAAGGTGATGGGAACAGAAGGAGCACAGAAGTGCAGTGCTGGGCACATTGGTGCAGCCAGCTGTGGCTCTGCCCCGTGAGGACCCTTGCACCATGCAGTGCCCCCACGGACATCAGTGGGAGACTTGTTTTAGTGGGAACTGAGTCAGGCCCCAGAGGTCAGAGCTACGGACACGACCCAATGTCTCCTTGTAAAACAACAGGAAAGCAAAGCTGCTGAAAACAAACCCACGTGTGTGCCAACAGACAAAAATAAAATCAATGAAGCAATGCTTTGCTGTCAGCCATGGGTTAGAGAAAAAGGCAATTAATCTGGGGGTTGAGTTGGAGTGTGGGTTGGTCCTCTCTGGTTCCAGGCTAGGAGCGACTATTGCAACATCCTGCACGGAATCACATCCAGCAGGAGGCTGTCTCCAGCAAAACCGCACTTGGTGGGATCCTCTCTAGGATCACTCTAGCTCACTGCAGCTTTGCTTCTATGGATTGCCTCATATTACCTCTGTTGGGTAAGCCTATGGCTTGTGTCTGGAGGGAAACTCCCGAGGAATGTCCCAGGAAGAGCTCAAAATGTCAGTGCATCTCTGCAGAGCTGGTGGCTTCCAGGCACAGAATAAAGACCTGGGCACAAGAATAGTAATGAAACAGATGAGATCATTTCTAGTAATGAGTGGAAAAAAGCGTTTTAACTCAATGACTAAAACATTCTTTCCTACTGTTCCACTTCTCTCATTTGCTGGGAAGGATAACCAGGTATTTCCTTCCCTTGTCCTGCTGCTAACACTGCAGGTATTAAGGGAAAACTCCCCAAAACAGGAGCTGTTGGTGCTGAATCCCAAAATCTATTCTTCCACGTGCATCCATAGATCTCAAGAAGCTGCTGGTGCTGATCACCCATCGAGACTGTTCCACCATATATTTGTCTTCAGTTGAGACAAAGCACTGCTTCTTCTGCTTGCAGTAATCTGTGCAGAGTGGTGTGATCTGAAGGAGATGGACTCAATGGCCCTAACGGATCCCATCCAACACACGATATTCTATGATCCTAAAAGGACGGGAGCTGCTTGATGGGTCAAGGTGTGCACCTCGCCCTTGCAGATAGATTGCTCTCCTCCAGCTCCAGCTGAGTGCAAAGGATCACGCAAGGAGTTTCACCAAACAGCTGGCTGCCAGCGTGCCCTTAGACTTGACATTATAGCTCTGGAGAAACAAGGATTGAAACTTCATCCAAACCTGTTGCCATCACAAAGATATTTTTTTTCCCTCCAAAATTTTAGGACAAATACACAGTGTCTTGGACACTATAAATATTAATGCAGAGTACGTTATGCGTGTGTAGGGTAAATATTCATGATGAATGAATATTAATGCCTCACATCTGAATG